GACGGACGCGCAACAATGTAACGAAATTTCTCACCATTTTATATTGCCGGCATGCGTGGAACAGAGTGAGTGAATTGTTACATTATACACCAGTCTTAGCATGACGTCCATTGTTTTAATCAAACGGTTCTCCGGCATGGACTAGCGCCGTGACACTCCCAATTAAGTATCATCCGCAAATTTAACTAATTTGCTCTCAATATTTCTATCAAGGTCATTAATGTAGATGAGGAACAGCAGGGGTCCCAACACCAATCCATGAGGGACGCCACTCCCCACCATACCTAGCTGAGATGAGATTCCACTGACCACCACTCTTTGTGTTCTGTCCTGTAACCAGTTTTGAATCCACTCCAGAATACCACCTGTAACTCCAATGGAGCTCATTTTAAAAATTAGTCTCTTATGCGGTACTTTATCAAATGCTTTCTGAAAATCCAAGTATATGATGCAGGGCCGGCGATTGGCATAGGCGATATAGGCAGTCGCCTAGAGCGCCATCTGCTGGAGGGGCGCCGCCAGTCACCCTTAGCCTCGAAAAAAAAAAAAAAAAAAAAACAACTAATAATTGTTGATGCTCATTGACACCCTCCCTTCGTGTGTTCTATCTTGAATAATAGTAACTGACTATTCATAGAATTAGAACATCAAACGAAAAAAACATGTTTATTAAACCTGATCATCCTAGGGCGCCCCCTCAGCCACAACCAGATCCTCAAGCAGATGTTTGTGTCAATCATTTTGTGGACGGGGGGTTTGTGTTACGTTAGGCAAGTGTTCAGCTGCTGAATTCATCAGCTTGACGTTGATTCTTAAAATGAAGAGGTCTAAACCCTCTGGTGCGCTGGGACAAAAACGGAGAAAAGAAGAAAAGGAAAAGAAAGCCCAGTATAGAGGTAAGTCTCATCTCAGCCATTATAGCGTCAAATGAAATAGTGTTGTGCTTTGCCTAATATTGGACGTTTCATTGCTGCCACTCAGCTATTGCTAGCTAGCTAACGTAACTTCACTGATAACTATATAACTTTACTAAAATCATGGCTGTAACCACCATTGAGGACACCGAGGTCCGGACCTGGGTTAATTGTCCCAGAATATGCGTTTTTTTCCCCCACCAATTTTTCCCCTCACTGTGCCCGTTTATTCAGCAAATTGTGTATGTGTGTGTGTGTGTGTGTGAGTGAGAGAGAGAGAGAGAGAGAGAGAGAGAGAGAGAGCGAGAGAGAGAGAGATGCCTGATACTCCCGTTTTCAAAGGTGCATAGTAACGAAGTACATGTACTTCGTCACAGTACAGTAGTTTTTTTTTGAAGGATTTGTATTTTACTTAAGATTTTTTTTTTTACTCTACAACCTTTAAAAGATAAAAAAGTATACTTTCACTTCGTCACTTTGCCACTGGCAACTTAGTTACTCGTTTCGAATTAAAATATGAATTTAATTAATCATTTACAGATTATCTGAATTTGGCATGTTCGAGAAGAACATGGGCGGCGGCAAAACTCAATCTCGCCTAGGGCAACCAAAGAGCTAGAGCCGGGCCTGATATGATGTCATAAGCCCTGCTCTGATCATAAGTCTTAGTGGCCTCTTCAAAAAATTCTAGGAGGTTTGTCAGGCATGACCTTCCTTTACGGAAACCATGTTGGCTATCCCTCAAGATATTATTACGTTCAAGAAATAATTCCAGCTCATCTTTTAGATGATAGATTTCAGTATTTTGCATGCAATGCAAGTTAAACTGATTGGCCTGTAATTTCCTGGCTCAGTACGGTCCCCTTTCTTATATATTGGTATTATATTGCCCTTGTTAAGTTATGTGATCTCATCGGACATTTAGGATGTATTATTTTATTTGATGTATGTTCCCATCTAGTGTGGGTTTATACCTTGTTCATTTTAAGCAGTTGTATTGGTGTTGAGTAATCACATGACTTTTGTAAATTGTATGTGGTCCGTCTTTACATCACGTTTACGAGAAAAAGTGCCGTACACTTCTGCACGCATTTATTTATGTTGGAGCTCTTTTTGTTTTTGCCAGAGCAGTGAAGAAATCAATAAAGGAATAGAAACAGAATTATTTTGCGTGATCCTTCCTCAAATATGGTGAATGAGAATGCAATCCCAACAGCCCTGCTTCCAATCATTTGGTTTTTCTCCAGTTTCTAAAGACCGTCTGAAGATAGCGGAGAGCAGTTTAAAAGATGATCTCACTAACTTCCCTGAGCACTCTAGGATATAAGCCATCAGGACCCGTCGCCTTATCAGCCTTTAGTTTATGCAACTTGTCCAATACTTCATTATCCCTAACCTCAATTTCCGCAAAATAATCTTGAGTGTTGGACATGCCCTCTGGCCGAATAAAAACCCGCTCCGAGGTAAAATTCTCAACAAAAAAAAACTGTTTAAGGTATCCGCAATATCCTTGTTATCATATCGCAAGGATCCATATTAATTTTGCTTTGCACTTAACCTCCTCTTTGACTTTCCTTTTTCTGCTACAGTATTGAAAGAAGCGCTTAGGATTAGTTTTTGCCCCTTCTGCAATTTGCCTTTCATACAGTCTTCTAGCATTCCTCAGCTCTTTTTTGACCACAGCTCGCATTTTACAGTATTCAGCCTTAGTATTCTCATTGTTATCCTTTATGTACGTCTTATAAAGATTCCTCTTATTCCTCAGACTCCTTCGAATAGCTATGGTTATTCATGGAGGATTTTGCTTTTTCAGCTTAAACTCATCCTGAAACTGCAGCTCTAACTCGCAGCACATGGAGACAGAGCTTCCAGTTAAACTCATCCTCTTACTGCAGCTCTAACTCACAGCACATTAAATATCTGATTCATGCATGCGTACCTCTCTCTGGCAGTGTGGAGGCCCCCATCTTCAGGGTCTGGCTCCCCTTTGAGGCTCATTTCAGAAGCAGCGCCCCCGTCGCACTAGACTGGAACATACACAAAGGAGATACAAAATCAGCCACCTGTAAACGCACAATAAGACAATATAGTGCACAGAACATATAGACACTCTTATACACAAATACTTGATAGACAGTGTTTTGAGAAAAAACTGTTCTGTTCAAAAACCACAGGTTTTCTCTGGAGTTTATGTCTGGGGTATGTTTACGCAGCAAAATATTATTTTGTGATTAAACATTGTAATTTAAAAATTTACAGTAAATACAATGGGAGGTCAGTCTTGCAGTTATGCAGCTTTTTAGACAGCAGTCAGAGGAAGCCAGGTTTGAGCTAAAATGCTGTTCTCTGAGGATAGTTCACTATGCTGATGCCTTTCACAAGGGCAGGGCCCAGGAACAGTCAGACCCCAGCCCTACTGCTGGGGGAGAGGGGATGGGCCCCCCATCCTAAGACCAGCCCATCCAATCATAACCTAATGAGAGAGGAAAACTAACCCACTCACTGAATCATTAGCTGTGTCCACAACTGCTTCCCATTACCTACTTCAATCACAGAGGATATTTCCCTTTCCCTGCACAGTTCATTACTGAATCACCTTTAATGCATTCAACAGCTAATGTACACTGACTGGACATTAATCTTTTACATTCTTTTTATCAATATGGCATTCTACTAGGTCGTTTCACTGTCAGCTCTTTCTTTCCTATGACATGACATGCACATTTTGCAGCTTGGAATCATTGCTAAAATGATAGTCCATTTGAATGATAGCACTGGGCATGTGCAAAGTGTCTAAAACAGACGGCCTTTTTCCTTTTCTCCCCACTTTTCCCTGACCTCATTAGTAAATGTCACATGGGGCAGAGGACAGTTGCAGGGAGATTTTAAAGGCACATTGGGACAACTTTGAGAAAAATTGGATGTCCTATTCTTCAATCCATCATGAGCTTGACAGCAAAGATAGCCTTCGTAATGTATCGGAAAACCTTGTGACACAAATGGTGCATCCGGTCACTCCAGCTGTAAAAGACTGTGGCCCATAATCGCTCCTTTCTTTTATCCAAGGTTAGTCTAGTGTTCCCGTGCTAGAAGGAAGGAATGAAGGAGCTAATCTGCTACTTTCCTTTGTGAAATAGACTATTCAGATGCTCCATGTCACAAGGACTGGCCAAACGATTTCCAGTTCATACCTGGTCACATGGAGGAAACCTGGGCCTTTCCAGAATTCAGATACACCTGTGGTCTCTACCCTGTGCACTGATGATGTCTTGGGCTCGATACATGAAGGACAGCTTCCAGTGCATATTTCAGTTAGCTTCGTATTATTTTTCAAATTTGGTCAGTTACTCCACTCGCTGTTTCCCAACGTACTGCTCCATTTATAATTACCTCCGCCAAGGAGGTTATGTTTTCACCCCCGTTTGTTCGTGTTTGTCTGTTAACAGGATAACTCAAAACGTTATGAACGGAAATTTGGTAGGATGGTGGTTGATAGTCTGAGAAAGAGTTGATTCAATTTTAGAAGTGATCTGGAACATATTCTGGATTCTGGATCCGGAAGAAGCTAAAATACAGTGCGGCGGAGGTATGCGCTTTACCGAGTGCCCTTTAAGTTGTCCATGTAGAGTGCAGGAAATTGCAAAGAAATGACCAATGTCAGACACAGTCATTATCCTCATTGATCAAAAAATGTTGAATTAATTCTCCAGTTCTCCTATTTGATATTTCCGTGCTCCTCGAAAGTCACTTCAAGTGGAAGTTTTTTCAGATCTATATCTCGCAGCCCGTCCCAAAGCTCTGATTTCTGATCGGAGGAGAAAGGAGTGAAGAGGGAGCTCACAGGAGCCATGAGTGAGGAAACTCGAGAGCAGCCTTCCCAAAAGAGTTTCAGCTGAAAGCCATGATATCAAATTAGACCTAAATATAAATGAAATGTAATATGATGAAATATAAAATGTTATGAAATAATCAAAATTGAATTTTAAAAAATAAATTACTAAGATGTGTTGAAAATAATTAATAACAACAATTAAATTGTATTATTAAATAATTAATAATAACAAAAGATTGAAAAGATTGTGGAAGGCTGCGGATAGCTCACTCGGTAAAAGCATCGTGTTGCGAAGCAGAAGTGACTATCACGTCGCGGGTTCGAGCCCGCTCGTACCAGCCCGGCAGTGGTCGGCAGCTTTTTCAGAGTAGCGCACAATTGGCTATAGCGCTACAGGGTTGCAAATTGGGAAGGACTGCGGAAGGGATTACAATAGTTGCCTTGTTAGATTTGCTCAAAAGCGCCTCCTGTTGGCCAGGCGGGCTCGTCAGGAAGATTCTAAGCCTGGTCATGTCCGGGTATCCTCCGCCCTCGTTCTGAACTTGCGAAGATTCAACCAATGAGTGTATAAGAAGCAGTGGTTGACAGGCGCAACCGGGAGGAGAGCCGCGAACTGTCTACACTCTCCTGAATTGGCAGCAAGGGGTCGCGACACGAGCAAGCCTTGTACATAATTTACCAATTGGGCATTCCAGATTCGGGTGGGATTGGAGATGCCAAATTTTTATTAAAAAAAAAAAAAAAAATTGTGGAATTCTACTTATGATGAATTTAGTCCAATTTTCAGCACTGTTTCACCATTAAATCTCGTCCAAAAGGATGATGAAAAAAAGTATTTTCGGCGTCGATTCAATGAAGTTAAAGGTAGGGTCTGGAGTTTTTTGCTCGAAAATAAACGCTAGACTTATACATATGAAATCCGGCTTAATCATCACCTATGGGCTTCTAGTCCTGTGTGGTGGTGACTGCGTCTGCAGCGCGCCCTCCCCTGCCTGTATTTTGGTTTTTACTTTGTTTTTGTTGTGGGCGTGGGCGTTTCTGGGCGGAGAGTCGGTGTGTTCTCTCCAGCCAATGACAGAGCTCAGGGCGTGTCGCTCTGTGGGCCTGCATAGAGCATAGCGACTGGAGCAGTCACTGCCGAAGCAATGGCGGATACTGCCAAAAAAAGAAAATACATGGAGGCAAAACGTGCAGCGGACAAAGTACGCTCAAAAACCAGAGTGAATATCGGCTTGGCTTTCACCCGCTTCTGGGCCCTGAAGGAGAGGCTGGGGCTGAATAGCGACGCGGAGTTGGCCTGCTTACTGTTGGACAGGTACCTGCCAAACACGAGATGTTAGCGTGCTTTTTTAGCGACGTGCTACGTATCTTGTCATGGAGGTATAAGCAGTTTATGTACATTCTAAGTCTGGGTATCAAACATTGCAAACACCTTAATATTTGCGCTGCTAACCGCCGTCTGAGCGTCGTTCAGAGCATGTGAGTAGAGTGGAACAGGTGAAAATTTCCAATCGTCGCTGACAGACCCTGTTCTATCTGGGCATATTACGGTCATATGATAATTATCTGTTTTCTCGATGAAGGACGTAACTCGGTATTACTAGACATTGTAATTGCGTTATAATCAGAACACAAATACTGTCTATTAGCACTGCCTGTTAGCAACCTAGACGGAACATCTAAACTACTACAGTCAATAATTCGCATCATTATTAGCATAGCTGTTTATTCAAATGCACAAACAATATCATGTGGACACGATAAAATATTTGATACTATATTTGCAAGATACCTCGTCAGTCATTCCTGCAGGTAGCATGGTGCACAGATCCTGATTCAATACGATACAGCAAGCCGGGTGCTGGGCTGGGTGGATGTGTATTGGCAAGGCTGGCAGCGGCAGGGCGTGCATCGCTAAGCCCGAGAGGAGGGGCTTAGTTTGACTACTGTGTTTACAAACAGCAACGGACAAAACTCAAGACCCTACCTTTAATGTTGACACATTGACACCGATTCATTTTAACTCAATGACTGATAATCACAAGCATCTAAGTTTCAGTCACTAGAGGGCACAAAACATCCTAACCTCTGTCCTGAAACAATACTCATCCTGTTTTTCTTTGTTTTTTTTTTTGTATTTCTAAGTATTCTCGGAATTCTGAAACTAAATATCTTTCTGTGACGGGTGGCCATTGCTTCAACAATAAAGTTCAGTTCTCAAGCGTCTCTCATTAGAGGGGGCGCTTACGTGAAAGGGTTAAATTTCATGCTGCATTTCCCCTTTTTTAATATGAAAACTGGAATGGAAGAATCTGTGAGTTCATGTTAGTGATGGTTCTTTTGTCAGATCATTTTTCCCTTTTTTCAAATATTTTATGGGCTAGTCCTTCGGAAATGAATGTGGAAAATATAAGGAGCTGCGACTGTTCAGTCCTGCCGCGTCCTTTCAGAACACAATCATTCAGTAATGATTACCCAAATAAAAATTTCTTTAGACGAAGTGGGAAGGGAGCAGATGTTCCCAGTGTTATTAATCGTAGTTTACGGAAGCTCAAACGACGTTTGGCAGGACTGGCTACCCAGTACGATACTTCACTTGCGCACGCCGCGACCCCGACCTAGCCCACGTGAACTGTCATTGTAATGACAGTCCATAGGCGATGTGGGAAAAAAAAAGCTTAGAGCTTTTTAGGAAACTTATAGCGCCTTCTGTATACAGCTGACTGCAAAAACGTTGTCACCACCCAATAGTTCTAATGTTCCTCTAGTAATTAGCTAACAAATTAAGATGATTAGCTGCTTTACTTACCAAATAAATCCAGGTTTTCTCCATGAATCCAATAAACTCAAACTGCCATTTTAAAACAAACTGGGCATCTTGGCAGTAGAAATATCTTCCTGCTATTTCTGTTCATTTATCTTGTCTTTGATTTCATTACAGTCAAGAGGAAGAGAGCAAAATTAAGAAGGCAGTGGCTACATTTTCGGCGCCATAAACGGTGATTCGGGGCTATTTTTACGGCAAGTTGGAGTGGGCATGCGCAGAGGTGTCTCCGGGCAAATCCAAGATGAAGGACTTGCGTTTGACAGGCGTCTCTGGGCAAATCCTAGATGACGGACTCGCATTTGACAGTTGTAGGGAGCAATTTTGATGATTTAGCCACTGAAATTCAGTCAAGAAAATTTCGATTTTAATTACTTGTGCTGCTATATGTGGTAATTCATGTTATTGAGTGATGACACACCGTGTTGCTACAGCACGTGTAGCACGTATTCGCGATATTAACATTCTAAAGCCCCTTCTCAATAATAAAATCCCCCAAAACATATTGGCGCCTCCTTTTAAAATCATACTGGCAAATAAAAAGCCAGAAAAAAGTGGAGATTGGATACAGAATTCTTTCTACGCAAGAGTTAACTACTCGTTTCTGTATATTTCCCAAATTAAAACTGCCTAGGTGCATACTGCAACGCGCTGTATTGGAATTTTGGCATATGTGTACTCGGGTATGGTACGATATTAATATTGAGAAAGCTGACCAGCGGGGAGAGGGGACCGTCGCACTGTGGCACGGTACCGAACAATTGTACCTTGTGCGAAAGCGGTCTGAGAGTTTGTATTAAAAACAGACACTCTGCCGTAGATCGCAGTTCAGCGTGCTGAGCTTGGAAGCTGCCAACACAAGTGAAGAAACGTCAGTGCCGTAAATATAGCCCTGAACCACCGTGTACGGCACCGTAGATATAGCCACTTCCAATTAAGAAACTGAAAACAAATGTATTTTTGTCCACCAATTGATAGACATTTTTATTTCAAAATGCAGCTAATTGAAGGATAACAATCTGCAGTACCTGGAAAACAAGAATTTAAGGGAAGGTAGGGACGATTTAGATATTTTACGAGACGTTTTCGAAAGTCTGAGCTTGATAAACCCATTACGATCCTGGGCTGCCATTGCATATAATGAGCAGCACAACATGGGCAAACCCCGACCCATTAAATGAATGCGTTATTCATTCAACCATGCACAGTCCCGCACCAAATAGAATCATATATTTAACAGAAATAACTGCTACTTCTTACTGAAGCAGCATGGAAATCAAACACCTGACTCCTCTTGATCATGGGTAGACCTATTATTCCTTTGAGTAGCCCGCAGCTATCAATGACTTGAGTTTTTTTTTTTTTTTTTTTTTTTAATGGGACACACATATTAATGAACATTTCCATGTAAATATGTTTGAGATTGTAGCCAAGGCTAATTTCCGTCTCTAGTCCCATTGGCAGGTTGGTGTTCACAAAAGAAAAAGTAACAATAAAAGAAATATTAGTATAGAAACAAGTATTAGAAAAGAGACAAATAAAAACAAAAAAAATGCAATAAAAGGCAAAAAAATTATTGATTACAGACCAGACTTCGTCCATAGTTAAAGTGCAAATATTAAAATGCAAGGTGCTAAAGTGCTTAGTGGATTGCACACTTCCCTATTGCACATTGCTCGATTTCATGATGTGTAAAGTGCTGGTTAAATTGCACAATGCCCGTAACACAGTAAAGGTCACATGGGGTTGCTCGTCTGGTCTGTCATCAATAATAAACAGGTACAAGTGAGGTTACGTCAATCTATGGGAGCAGACTTGGTTGTCTATGGGATCAGATTTGGTTGTCCAGTAACCATGTTTTCAGATGCCTAGTGAATGATCTTAGGGTAGACAGAGTACGTATGTCATTTGGTATTGTATTCCAAGTTGGGGTGGCACGATATGAGAACAAAAGCACTTTTGTCCAAAAGCACTTTTCCTGAATGGGACTGAGCAATCACCTCTAGAGTTTGCCCTGATCAATCTGTTTTGGTTTGTTTTTTTTTCACACATTCCTGTAGTGGGGCAGGTGCTAGTCCATGGAGGATTTTAAATACCAATATCGAATCGGGGTACTTAATCATATTCTCCCAATTCAATAAATCATGCTTCTTCAAAATATTGCAGTGATGATACAGTTTTGGTTTTTTATCTAAAATTTTTAGAGCTTGTTTTTATGTCGTTTCAATAGGTTTTAGAGTGATCTTGCATGCCAGTGCCCAGCTAGTTATACAGTAACTCATGTGTGGCACAACCATAGCATTAAAATACATTTTAGCTGATTCAAGTGTTAGGTTGTTTCTAATATGCCTAAAATTGGACATATTGAATTTCATTCTATTAACAGTTTTCTTGACTTGCTGTTTGAAGCAAAGATTAGAATCAATAATAACACCTAAATATTTGTATTCATGAACCACTTCAAGTCTCATTCCTCGTACCATCACATCTGGATCAACTTCATCAACATTCGTT